ACTCATGGCTTCAGTCTTTCTCAGCTTGACTACTTTCAGACCCAGCAAGAGATCATGGTTTGGGGCTTCACTGTGCATAGATCCAGTCTGGGTTCATTGCTTCCCATAACCTTGATGATCATCCTCAGGCCTGCCAGACAGTGGAACACAGACTCACTCTTCTGGACTAGGCAGAGACGTGGCAGACAGCCTCTGGAAGAGTGCTATGGTGCCTTTGCTGAGACAAATCCTCTCTGGTAGTCCCTGTTCTGAGTTACAACTCTCTAGAGTCACAGTTGTCCATTGGTCCATTTCTTGTATTTCCAGAGACACACAGATACTCTTGTGGGGAGCAGAGGAAGCCCTGAGTGAATGCGTAAGCAGATAAAGTCCTGAGTGAATACGTATGATTGACAAGACCCTGATCCCTCAGGTCCACCAAAAACTCTTCATCTGGTAGCTGTGCAAATGTTGACAAAATATACAGAAAGCATGGGCAGAAGCTGCCCCCCTCCTCAGATATTTACAGTCTGTGACTGCTGCCTACAGCAACCTCCTACCAAGCCTAGCTAACCCCTTCCCCTGGGTTGTACGTAGTAGAGACACCAAGGCTATGGGTTGTTGCATGGTGCAGTAGGTGCGACTTCTTCAGAGCATGCAGGACCCAGCTGATCTCAACGTGTGTGTGTGTGTGTGTGTGTGTGTGTGTGTGTGTGTGTGTGTATGTAGGCATTTCTGTGTTTTCTGCATTCTTTTATTGCCCCAGCCAGATTTATAGGACCCAGCCTCACAGGACACAATGATCTGTGATCAAGAATCAAATAACAGGAGACGCAGAAAGGTGTTCACTCAGCCTAAGCCCTGTCCAGAGCTGTCATTGGGATGGGAAGGCTGATGTTATATGATGCAATGTGGCCCTTTGGTAGCACAGCATTATCCAGTCTATTCAGGGGTGAGCAGCCACCTTTCAAGCTCAGCACATGGCTTGGATGGTGTCTTACAAGATGCTTGCTTGGCAGAGAGGCTGCCTCATGCTGGACTTCTTCAAGTCTTACAGTGAACAAGCAGAGACTGACATCTATATACGGTACATGTTCGCCGTTCAGTTATTTTATTTTACCCTCTCCTAACCCTAAAAGAGGGCATTCTGATCTCCGGGAGAAAGTGGAGGTTGGGATTCGCTAAGTGGCAAGCCTGGTGTGAGCAGATCCTGGGCTCTGCCATTCTTCGTCCCACCGTACTACACAACTGTGCCACACCTGTCCCGTTACTATTAGCTCAGTTTCCTGTCTTCCAGATCAAACCAACTCCACAGCCATGCCCACAGAGTCCTGTTGACCCGGTGCCTAAATAAGAAAAACTGTAGGTGCGGTCTTTTTCTTTTCCAAATCTAACTGAAACAATCTCCCTAAACTTGGCTGCTAACTAGTATGTGATATGTCCCAGTCATCAGTCCCCAGCCCACTCTCGGAGGACAAAGAAGTCGCACAAAATAAAAGACATTTATTTTTCACTTCCAATTCCACGGTCGTAAGGCTGTCTCCTGAGCACTGCTGCTGCATTCCGGTCCTGCCGCCGTCTCCTGTCCCTTCTGCTGGTAAACTGTCCTCCCCAAGGGAAGTTCAGCAAAGAGAAAAGCCAAGAGACAGATTCTTTGACACAAGCTTCTCAGTTCTAATAGCGATGACATTGCTGGTGGCACGGGAAGTCAGAACGGTCTGACTTAGCCACTTGGAGTCTTAAAAACGGATTTAGAAATTACTGCCGTACAGTGCGCAGGAAGAATGGGCGTCCTTTAACGCAGCTTTTATGCCAAGCATCTCATTTGCTTTCCGCCTCCTTCTTTAATGGCTGCGTGTTATTAATACCTTTAGAAAATGCACCGCATTACAGGAATGAAAAGCAAGGGGAAAGAACGAGGTGCCCTTCGATCGCCCTGGCGCGTCGTGAAGACTGACTAATGCCCGCTCCTGTGTGCTCAGCCTCGCCCAGAGAAATGTGAGGACTCCAGGATTCCAGTTACACAGCTTCCTCGGGCCTGGGAGAGGGCCGAGGCAAGCCGGGCGCTAGTCCATATGAAAGGTGTGGTCCCTTGAACTGCCCCAGTTCTCAGGAGCCATCCCTTGGGCAGATGGGTCATCAGAGAGCCAGAGAAATGCAGAAATGGAGTGTGTCAATGACTTTCAGGATGTTTTTTTCAGTGTTGCCGCAGGCCTGGCCTACCTATGCAGCTCCAAGGGCACCGAAGATACATAAGTCCTAAAGTGGGTTTATTAATTAATCCCACATTGTTGTTTTTTTTAAATCATTTACAAGAATGAAATAGAGCCTTTAGGACAAAGACAACACAAATGCTGAGATCAATTCAGATTGTGTATCGATAAGAGTCAGATTATGTGTTGATAAGAGAACTGTAGTTTATAAAAGTTACCACTTTGAAGGCAGGCGTTGACAGCATGTGGCTGTAACCCCAGCGCTTGGAAGGCTGACACAAAGGGATAGGGAGTGTGAAGTGAGACTAGTTCAGACTGCACAGTGACTTAAAGCTTTGCCTGGACTGTAGTGATTCCCTGTCCAAAAAAGGAAAGGAATGAATGAAAATGAGGATTGTTTCCAGGCATTAGAGACAGTGCGGCCCAATGAGGTGACAGAAGCACACTGTAGTAACCCGAGAAAACTTTCATTTACCCTCTCTTATCATAGTATATCTCCAGGACTATAGATATAGACATGAGAGTTGCCTACAAAGTGAAGTCATACATGACAGAGGTTCTTTGACTCCAGGATGAACTTCCTGGGGTATCTCATCCGATGTTTTGAGGACATACACAAGATCTAATGGTCTCAAGACACATCGTCACACCCAGTTAGGAGAAGTATGCTTGCCCAAGCTGCAATCTGATGAACAACTCCACATGTTTGTTGATGGGGCAATAGCCATAGTGCAACGGGAAAACCAAACTTCCAACGAGGAGTGTGATACTGAGGCCTTCGTACAGTGCTTTGTGTGATTCAGTCATTGAGCTATAATTAAATCACTGTAGGTCTCTCAACCCTCCGGAGTTAAATTCTCTCACTGTTAGTTGAGGCGTCAGATGACCTTATCGAAGACCAGACACCTCTGACTTCTCAAAGATAGACATAGTGTAATAGAATGATGCACTTGGCAGCTGAGGTCAGATCTTTGTAAGGAGCCGAGGAATGAGAGCCCTCTATAGAGAATTCTGTGGTCCACACAATGTTCAGAGTTTTGGTTATTTAACTAAGGAGTTAAACTGTGTTCAAATGATCTTAAGTAAACAAAAGAAACCTCATTTAATAAGAAGATAAAAATGTAGGCTCTGATCATCACAGCACAATCCTGGCCCCAGCTTTGTCCTCAGCTCTGATCTAGCCTCTTCTTGGTGTCAGCATGAGTCTCTTGTTTTTATATGTACTTCATAAGCATGGACTCTGACTCCCCACTAGGTTTATAAGGATGTTAGTTCAGTGAATAGAGTGGAGTATATACATCTTCTCCTGCACACAGAATGGGTACCCATCTGTCTGTTATAAAAGATGTGGGGTCTTGGTGCACTTGTAGGCACCTCTTCATCAGCTTCCCATTGTTCTGCGGATAGTGAATTAAAAGACCAGATGATACAAGTACACATATGATCATGCTGTTTGATGTACCATGAGTAATAAAGTCCTTTGCTATGACCCAGGAATCTTGCATGTTATGGTCTCATCTATGAAAACTGCATCAATATAATTTGTAGCTTACAAATGGGATAAAACACCAGATCTTTCATAATACCCTGTTCTTCCAATTGGATTTTGGTAAGGGAAGACAGACTGTAGCTGTCAATAGAAGTAAGGTGACAGGCCTACTTGTTTAAGGACTCCAAGAGAAAGTGGGAGCCACTCTTTTAATTGTAAATATTGGCCCTAACCTTCGTTCACATTGGATCAACATAGTCTGGAGCCTAACTCTTGGACAAAGCATTTTCTCAGGGGAGAATGGGGTGGTCCTTACTTAAGCATGGTTCTTGATCTGCTTACTGACACCTAGGATGAAGCTGGCCCTCAGGAAGTTCATAGGGTGGTACAAACTGAAATGACACACAGATCAATCCTGGGTTCTTCAGGGGATGAGAAAGAGGTGATGAATATTGTGAGGGCAGCTCATTCACTACATCAGGTGTAGTGAATGAGTTTCCATTTGAGGAAAGCTAACCCAAGCCCTTTTGTTCTTAGGAAACGTGTGAGTGCATGCCCTCTCTTCCAACACAACACGGGACCCTATCCACTGTGCTTCCCAGATACTCATATTTCAAGCCACAGTTATGAGTTTAGGCATTAAGGGATCTGGTTCAGATCATAAATGCTATACAAATCAACCCATATGGATTAAGTGCTGCCACAGTCTATAACTGCTAAACGAGGGTCATGATTTCAGTCTGGTTAATAGACTGTAATACACTCAATGGTTTTATGAAACCCAAGTCTTAGCCATTCATCGTAATGTGAAATTTTATATGGTCTTGTAGAAAACCAGCAAGTCACATACAATTCTGCTTTCTGCTCATAGGAGAAAGATATAGTGCAAACTGGGGGCTTATTTGTGTGGTCATGTTCCTAGAGACAAGGTTGTGTTAGCCTTTCGTGGAACCCAGTTGTGTCACACAGTGTCTCGGCACTCCCAGGATGGGGTACTGTGCTTCACCTACTTTGAGGACTACCGAAACCTGGGCTCATGTTTCTTCTCTTAACTCCCAACAACGACTACAGAGTACTAGGTTGAGATTGTTCATGATCCTGTCTCCATGTTGGTCTTCGGGGACAGAAAATCTAGTTCCAGCACAGTACCCCATCTTACAGACTGGCCAGTTTATTCAAAAGATATTCTTTTCCCAATCAGCTGAACTTGAGCTTGAAAGTGAATCTAGAAGCTTCCCAGTTCTTCCACCTCCTGCCTGTGGGACACCAGGAATGTTCCCTCTAATGTTTGAAATTGTCTTCTCATTGTTTCTAAATAGGCAGTTGTGGGTATACCCAAGGTTACTGTGACTAGAGAAGGTTGTGTATATGAAAGAAAAGCATCACCCCAGCCAATGTCTTTGTCATGGTAGAGACCTCACCAATGCCAGCTACTATTTCATTAGTCCTGGTGAGTATGCCAACAGGTAAGATAGTTTCAGAGCCAACCTCTATGCTATCTTTTAAAAATGTAAATGCTGAAGAACACATACTCATCCCTTCAAAAAGTAATAGTTGCAGATTATTGTGTGTATTCCATCCCAAAGACTTGTTCTGTTTTTTGAATCTATAGAGTCTTCACATTATAATAATTCCTGGGTCAAGGAAGTTCTACATTACCTGAAACATGATACTCAAACAGCAAAAGGGACTCTGAAGATGCAATCAAATTAGCCTTCTTTGGCTAAAGGGCTCAGGCTAACACTACGTGTCTTTCAACCAACTCAAGACAGGCACTGTGCTGCACACTTAGTTTGTGTATCTGATGCTGTCCTCATCAACACTCTTAAGAGTAGCAAATGTGGAGAGATCCAGCTTCATGATGTGTCTGAGGTCTTCAGTCAGGGCCAGATTCCTTCCTATCCACAGTAGACAGTTTCCCGATCTGTTTCTTCATGAACCCTATGGTGGTGGCTCTACTGAATTTTCTCTCGCTATTGCCAGCTACTCCTCTTACTGGGATATTTTCCACTGGGAGACTGACACCTTAAGTGCCATGAATGATGCTTAGAGCTGTGTTTCTGGGCATCTGCCTCAAGACCTGCAGTAGCCATTTCTTGGCTCTTACAGCTGGATCATTTAACAACATCTCCAAGTCTCAGAAATTATCCGGCACTCCTGGGACTGGGGTTTTCATCACTGTTTTTGTATTTATAGTTAAGTTTATGTTGAGTTGCTGTTTTTACCTGTCCTTCCTTCAAACTCTACTCTTCTGGATGGCTTGGTACCCAATCCTCAACCATCCAACATCCTCTCCTCATGTCTTATGCCTCCACTTTGCAGAGAAGGATCATAGGGACTCTGGTCTATTTGATTAGAAAGTAGCACTGCTGGATTTTGTTCTCTTCATTCTGCTCCCATCCCTTTCCTCTTTCCCTCCCCCCTCTTTTCCTCACTCTCTCTTTCTCCCTCCCTTCTCCTCTGATGCTAAATTAAAACTGTTTAGGAAAACACTTTTCAAATCCCCCACCTGTCCACACCACCTGCCTTTGTATGCCACAATAATATTTCTTAGGGTGGTGTGCTGGACAGAGACCAGCTGGGCAAATAGGAGATGATAGTTTCACACTTTTTTTTGCTTGTAGCATTAGTTCATAACTGTCCAAACAGTCACAGAAGATGGAATGAGAACCAGAGAGATCATCACTCCAAACTTCCAATTTAACATGGAGATTGGAAGCTCAGAAGGGAGGCAGCAGGAGCAGACATGGGGGCTACATTGGGTTCCCCACTTCTCACCAAAGGTTCTTCCATTCACATGTGCTTACACAAACTCCCAGAAACCATGGTGTCAGGCTTTCCACGTTTGTCTTTTTAGACACTTGAATTTCTGACACATGCCCTTTCCATCTGCTGGTTTTCCCAGATTATGACTTTTTCAGGAACTCTTGGCCAAATACACAAGCAAGACCCAAGTGGGGTTTTGCATATCCTGAGTGAGTGGAGTGTTCCAAAATGTTTGTTTTGTAAAATGGAGACTCTGTTCTACTTCATGTAGACTTCCTCGCCCATCAATCATTTTTTTCCTGGGAAGACAGTTATGAGAGGAGTGTGACTTGGTCCTACACAGAGGTGATTAAGTCCCTGAACCTCTCAACTTCACTGGGGGGGGCTTGTCATGGCAACATATTTCTTTAATGACTAGCTCATTTTTTTATTTTAAGGCCCTTTGGTCCTTGATGGCACTGGTGGGTGAGGGTGGGCAGCTGGGCTAAAGTGAAGACAGGCAAAAGGGCTTCGGAATGGGGGAAGGAGGATGGAAAGAGGAGAAGAGGACCAAGAGGGGGGTGTAGATGTGTGGACAATGGTGGACAAAGAATGACTCGGGAGAAAGAGAAACAATGAAGAAAAGAAGTGCATAAAGGAAATGAAAACAAGGAGAGAATCCCAGGACAAGGGGACAAGAAGGGGGCTGAGCAAAGGGGCAGAGAATACCACGGCCAGGGCGGCATGGAAGAAAGGCAAGTTTTAATATGGGAGGTCTGGGCTTTGGGGCTTTGTTTGCTTACTGAATTTGCATTGCTACAAAAAGCAAAACCAACCAACCTCTCTGTGCATTTATTAGGAAGCATAAGTGCTTGTAACCTTTCTCACCACTGTGACAAAATACCTTATGGAAGCCATTTAATGGAGAAAAGATTTCCTTCGATGATCCTACTGTAAGACAGGGTGATCCCTTGTGAAAGGAAGGTCTGGCATAGCTCAGGGCAGTGGGAACATCAATCAAGAGGAAACAGAGAGTTAGACTACAATTGGAAATGGGATATCCTTGACTCACTTCTGGTGACTTACACTGGACAGGCAGGCCCAGTGTTCCAAAGGTTCCTCAACACCCTTAAACAGTGCTGCCAGCTGAGGATCAAGGGTTTAAATATGCAAACCCATAGAAGACATTTCTCTTTCAATTGGTAACATTCTACCCCTGACCCACAAAGGTTCAAGGTCATCTCCTAACACAAAATGTATCCAGTCTATCCTCCTGGGTCCTCACAGTCTATACAGACTCAACACTGTTCAAAAGTTTGAAGTCTCCACTCCTGTCGTGTCTGAGGTTCTAGGCCTGTGTGTTTAGAGAGCACGACAGGAGAGAAAGATGGAAGGGTCAAGGAGGATCTGGGAGAAGCGATGTTTCTGGCTGTAACAGGACCACTGCACTCAAAACTCACAACAGCTGTGCTTGCTTTTCCAGGGCCTGAACAAAATCAAATTAGTCAATATCCCTGCCTGGGGTGGGCGGAAGAGGCTCATGAGCCCCCACCCTGAGCTTAGAAGCTATTGACAACGGATAACTGCCGGTTCAAGGAAAGTCTGTTTTCCTTAGGGGTATCCTCCTTACTAGATAGACCATCATCCAGGAACCCATGTGCATGGGTAGCCCAGTTAGACTCAGGGAGTTAGAAAAACAAGAGGTCACGAAGTTGAGGAGTGGGGTTGGATCTAGAAGTTGGGGGAAGGACTTAAGGTAAAAATGATCAAAATGCATTTTATGTATGAAATTGTCAAAGAATTAGTAAAACCTTTACACACACACACACGCACACACTCATGGAGTCTCTTCTAAGACTCAGTGAGGCCCTGAGAAGTGAGATAAACAAGTAAAACACACTCAGCACACAATGGGGTAATCATTCCCATTTCCAAAGGGAGAAACAAGGGAACAGCAAGGAAAGACTAGACCAAATGTCTTAGGGTTTCAATTGCTCTGAAGAGACGCCATGGCCATGGCAACACTTACAAAGGAAAGCATTTAACTGAGATGGCAGCTTACAGTTCAGAGTTTCAGTCCATAATTATCATGTCAGGGAGCGTGGTGACATGCAGGCAGACATGATGCTGGCTACATCTTGATCAGAAGGCAACAGGAAATGGACTGTGACACTTGAGTGATACTTAAGCAAAAGAGACCTGAAAGCCCGCCCCCACAGTGACACACTTCCTTCAACAAGACCACGCCTCCAAACATTCTACTTTCTGTGGGCTTTTGGGGACCAATTACATTCAAACTGCTACATCAAAGAAAGACAAAAACCCACAGGGCAAACACACAGTGCTACAACTTCGTGTCTAACACACAATGAGCAGAGTAACTAGTTCAGGAAATTAACCAAGAAACAGTGTTGATGTTCTGATAGCATTGCCTGGATTCAAAGTGGTCCCGTCACCTCGCTCAATCATCTTGCCGCCTGCAGCTCACATATACCCACTAACCCAGTGTGTCCAACATCCTGAAGTTGCCATTGTAGATCGTATTTCACCTTCACAGCTTCACAGGTTAGCCCCTTAATACCCCTCTTCATGGAACTGCCTGGCCTCGGTGCCTTTTTCCCTTGGTACCTTGGTGCAAACCCCCATCAACTTGAGATTCTTGCATTCTTCATGCTTTCAAAACCAGCATCACGTGGATGATGCCAAATTCTGATATTAGCTTGAGATATAACCCAATCTCCCTGAACCATCAAGCTCACAGCCTCTGAATGTTTTCAATTGTGCTGCATTTGAGTTGTCAGTGGATGGGGCCTGGCCCTCCATACCCACTTTTGTCTCACCCAATTACAAAGTGTGCAGTTTCTCCACAGTGGTGTTTATCTCTCTAACAGCTGCCCCTGCTGTGTTGGCAGCCACCTTGAATGCCAACTTTAAGTAAACTCATTTTCCTGCTGGTCTGCACATATTTCATACCTTTCTGATAGGCTTTTGCTTTGCATCCTCACTTGGAACTTCGCTAACAGCAGAGAGCAGCAAAACACACAATAGCTTGGATACTATGCTTCCTTGAAATTTCTTTCATCACACAACCTAATCATTTATTTTAGAACTTAGCACCGTTCATATTTTCAGAACATGGGCCAGAAGTAGCCAGACACTTTGACAGAATGTAACAAGAATGGTCTCTAGTCCAGTGTCTCAGGGACTCCTTGTTTTTAGCTGAAATGTCATGGGCCTGGCCTTCATGATCTGCATTTCTCTTACCATTCTGATCTTCTGAACTCCCAGAACAATGGCTTGCTTGACCTCACACAAAGCTGTGATCCTGGGTTTCTAGGCTTCTTTAGTCTACATCTTCTTTTTCTGCCACGTTCCTTCCACAAATCAGTTCCAAAGGTCTACAAGCCACACAGTCTGCTCTATCAGAGCATCAGCACTTTCTTGGTTCATTTCCTGAACTAGTTACTCTGCTCATTGTGTGACACCCAGGACACCTGGCCGAAGCAACTTAAAGGAGAAAGGATGTATATTGGCTCACAGATGATGGTGATGGAGTTCTCCATTGCAGAAAATGCATGGTGGAGATCACGGCAGCAACAGTGTGATCCCTGAGATTCTCCGCATTGTAGCAGGCTAAGAAAGAGGCAACTTGGACTAGAAGTGGAGGTCATCTGGTAATCTTCCAAGCCTGGTGACTTCCATCCTCCTGGCCAACAAATTC